GGCAGCAGGTCTGGAGGCTGGTGCCTTGCTCAAGGGCCTCAGAAATGGAAGGTGGAAGTGTGAGGTGATGTGACACATCATGCTGTGCCATGCTGAGAAGGAGGCCAGCTCTCGTGATTCTGAGTTTTGTCTGTTTTCTCGCCCTGAAAACACAAGCGGCCGACAGACGCTGCACTATGGACGTCATCAAAAGGGTCCAGACGCTCATGGACAAACATACGGTAGGTTTTCTTCAGTAAAAACACTGTCACAGTGAAAGGTTTCAAAATGTTAAGTTCAGTAGAGCCGCTGGTGTTGAACGTTATGAGGCAAGACAAGTTCATTTGTTTCATACATTTCAACTACAAGTCTTTCATTCAAAGAGCTTTACACACAGTATACAATGATAATAATCCACTGTATTTATAAAGCAGAATCACAATGTTACATGTTGAAAATTCAAGATTGAAGGCAAATAGCACAGAACTGTCAGAAAGTAAAGCAGTCAAAGCAATGACATGTTGCAAAAGCAACACGAGACCAAACAAAGAGAATCATCTCAAAGAAATTAAAGGAGACAGAGAAAAGTGAAGGTACGACAGCAGGTCTCACGTGGAGCACAGAAAAGTGACACTCTGCTTCTCTGGGTTTGACTTTAACTCCCCGACGCCCTGTGAGCTCTGGATGCTGCAGTGAAGTGTTTTAGAGATCAACAGCTGGATTTTTCTTTTTCCATGAGAGACCTGGGGCCAGAGTAAAGATCAGAACTTTCTGGTGTCAGTGACTCGAGCAGCTTCGAACCTGCTGCAGCTTCTGTTTGATTCCTTTTGGGCAAAACAACATTACAGTCGTCACAGTGACTCATGCAGCAGCAGCAGCTTGTTATGTAACCGGGGTTTTACTGCAGACTGGTTATATAGCTGCAGCTCCTCGTAGCATGTGACTGATGTCAGGAGAGGTCACTTTATATACTGTCAGTGTCTTTATATACAGTCAGTGATCATCTTTATATACATTTGACCCGTGTGCTCATTGAGACCGTTGACATGCTAACTCTCTCTCGTCCTCAGATGTTGTTGGACATTAGACTCTACACTCCGACCACTGAAGATTACAAGGTATGAACGTCCTTCGTCACTTTGCTGTCTACACTTCCTGTTTATCTTTTATTGTTTACACTCTCACACACACATCTATAACCTCTATAACGAGACTAGACTTACTGCGGTGTCGTTGTATGGCTCCGCCTACCGGGGCAGTTTACATCTACTTATTTTATTTCCAGATTCATTTAAAGTCAGTTGACCTTTGACCTTCAAGCACTGAAACATAATCACTTTGTTTATGTCCAAGTGAAACCTGATTCAAATGTGAAGACAACCTTCAAGAGATCATGTTCAAGAAAAACATCAACGTACAAGACCACCGTGACCTTCACATTTGGCCTTTGGCTAAAATCAGATCGAAGTTTAATTGAATTTTTCTGCCAAACGTGAAAGAATTCCCCCGAGGTGATATCACAACGCAAAACATGTGATTAGTGAGGCGAACTCAACCTTTGACCTTTTACCACCAGATTCTAAAGAGAGTTTGAAAAAGGGGCCTGAGGTTCCTCAGGAGGTTCCTCAGGAGGTTCCTCAGGAGGTTCCTCAGGACACCTCTACAGCATCGAGCCTCTACTGAGGAGCAGGCTGAAGGGTCTCTCTCTGTCGGGGCTGGCTCACAACCCTCCTGTGGTCGTCTCAGCGTAGGCTGACGATGTCAGTATTTTCATCCATGATCAACATGAGGTCCAGCAATTAAAGGAAAGTCTGGTTTGGTGTGAGAGACCCTCTCCAGCCAGAGTCAGCTGGAGCCCAGGGACTGAACCTGGTCTTCCTGGTAATCTCCGCTGGGGAAGGAGTGGCACTGAGTTTTAGGAGTCCACTGTGGGAAGGTTCAAGGTTCAAGGGTTTTATTGTCATATGCAAAACTATTACATTTAGCAGTTGCAGGCAATGAAATGCTTGAGTCCCAGGCTCCCTTTTAGACATGTTCTGAATTTATGAAAATAAAAATAGAACATCAAATATAAAAGACTCAAATACAAAAGTAGTGCAAATATCGTGCAGAAATTGTAAGGTGCTGAGAGATGAGTATGACAGATGGGAGGAGTTTAACAGTGAGAGGCAGTCCTGGAAGGGGGGGCTGGAAAGGGTAGAAGCCAAGTTGTCTAAATGGAAACGGTTGCTACCTGATCTGCCCTCAGGGGAAGAGTTCTGATAGTGAATTACTTAGTCACCTTGTCTCTTTGGCCCAGACTTGTTTTTTTGGTGCCACTTCCAGGTCTGCTGAGAGACGAGTTGCGTCTCCTGGAGAATTCCTTCTGGTCTGGTCAGCACTGGCTGAGGGCTTCGGCTCTGTGTCTCCCTGTGGCAGAGGGAGGACATTGTGTCCAGAACTGCGGCCTTCAGACAGTGCAGAGGTACAAACATCTCTTTCTGATGTCATCATCTGAAGCTGACCTGACCGGACTGACTCCTTTCTACAGCTCGTTGGTTAGCGCCTGGCAGACGCTGGAGGTCAAACAGACTCCTGACCCCAGACCAGCTGTGTGAGGAGCCACTGTTTTACAATGACCTCTTGAAAACCACTACTTTCTCCTCTGCAACGCTAAGAACTAAGTTTGTTGAGGCTGGCCTCATTAAACTGGGCCATCTCACCAAGGCACCAGGGAAAACACTCTGTGACATCACCAGCGTCAGGAAGTGTTGCAGTCCCTGTCTGTACCACTCTGAGTATTCGCCAAAGTATTTGCCAGTGGGATGATAACTGTGAGTATGTTCTTCCCTCTGGTCGTCAGCCCCGCTGCTGACCGGTGGAGGGAGGAGAGTGCTTCTTTCCTTCAAAACTCCGGTGCTGGGTCGAAGAAGCAGCTTTTGACACACAGCTGTGTGAAGGTAGAAGAACCTTCACTCTCTGGCTGGAGTCAAGAAACCGAGGTGGACGGAGGTCTTTACTGGAGGCTGCACCACTGAAGGGAGGTGGAGGGTCCTGTATGAACCTCCTGTTGAACAACGGGTGTGTGACCTCCAGTGGACGATTCTACCTGGAGCTTTAGCTACGAACTATTCTACCTGAATAGTTCTATGTCCACTGGTCCTTCATTTTTAACTGGGTACAGTGTGTGTGTGTGTGTGTGAGACATGAAGGTTTGCTGTTGCGATTATTGGAAAGATATCATGAAAAGATTTTAATTAAAGTTATGTTACAGTCTCTCTCTCTCTCTCTCTCTCTCTAACAGAAATGCCCCAGCTCGACCTTGAAGTGTTTTGCGGAGGAAATTAAAGTTCTCGGTGAAGAGTTGAAAACCTTTGGCAGAATTTACAACTTCAAACTTAACATAAAGCTGGAAAAACTGGCAACGTTTTTTAACGAGGTATTATAACGAGGTATCAGTTACACATGTGACTGACCCTGTTGTCTTTGCTAACAGCTGCAGTTCAGTAACACTGACACAATGATACGACTGTAAACTGTCCATGACGGGTCATGTGATATTTTCAGCTGGATGTAAAAAAAACAGTCTCACAATGTCTCAATAAAGGGACGATGAACTCAGCTGAGCTAACAGCTCTGTCTCTCCTCCACAGACGGAGACAGCGTGTCGTCAGTGTGAACTCTTCATAGAACAAAACGCAGCAAACTTCCTGAGTGATCTTATGTCTACTCTCCAGATGATGAACCAGCAGTTCTGTGAATAGAGTTAAAGAGACGTTGTTAACCTGGGCTCAAATAAAGTGTCGTGTGAAGAACGTCTGAGCATCTGATGTTTAATGTGCAGCCAGAGGACGTGCACCTTGTTTTCAATGTGGACGACGTCTGCCTCGACCGGTCGGTGAGTGGAGTTCGTACAGTCAGTTCGTACGTGACGACCGAATGGAGCACTTGTAATTTATAACTCGGCTGCTTTATTTACGTGGAAATACAAATAGACTCACTGGTTTTTTCAGATTCTAGATTTATTGAACTCTCTGATTTCTGGAGGCGGAGCATCACCCCAGTAGTCCAAGTGTTTTAGAATCGGACAGGTGGTGATGAAAATAAGTAAATAACTAATAATTCAGTTTCCTTACGTCTGAAGACCTCGAGGCCCATTGAAAACTTTCTCTTCTGTGAAGCAGGAGCTTTACAGTTCGTCTGCTCGGAATCAAAGACAGAGACGTTGAACCGACAGTCTTCTCCGTAACTCTCTGGACTCACAGTCTGTGGTCGCGCGGCAGATCAGCTGTGGGTCGGTTGTCTGTTGTTCACACCCGCTGTGTGTTACTGGCGGCGGAGCAGCAGGTTTATCTCCTGCATTTCTTTCAATACAAGTCGGATTATGCACTGAACTACATGTCAGGACTCTACGGTCTGAAGTCCTGCACCTTCTGGTCTGTTGACAACTAAGATTAAGATTAAGATTCTTATTTTAGGTCCCAAAATTTGACCTCTGTATTTAACCCATCCGTGTGAACGGAGCACACGGAACACAGTGACCACACACGGAACAGTGGGCAGCCATGAAGGCGCCCGGGGAGCAATTGGGGGGTTCGGTGCCTTGCTCGAGGGCCACCCTCTGGTTCCCAAGCCAGGTCGCTCTGGACTGAGCTACTGCCTCCCTGTCAAAGCCCTGTTAGAACAAATGAATGGATTCAGAAGTGAAACGCTGGAGTGCTTTTACTTTGAAACGGGTTCAAGAAGTGTTGTAAATACGTTTGTGACGCAGACAGATCAACTTTGTGTTTCACTGCAGAATAAAATGATCTTTCACGTGAGTTTGAATGTTTATCCGTTGAATTTATGTCACAAACACAAAAGAAAAGCTCTGCAGCGCTTCTGTTGACCAAATCCATTCTTTTGTCTACAAAGTTTTTTTATTGTGAAATATTAGCAGGAGCTGAAGATGCATGAATTCATCCTGAAATAATAAATATGACCCTCCTAAGATATCAGGGTGGTAGATCTGGGCTCACGTTTTGAAGTAAAAAGTGATCTTGTGCTTTAAAGGGAGAGTTTATTCAGGTCATGGTCCAGGGCTAAGACACGTCAGGTTTTCACACGTGTTCACATGAACAAAAAAAATAAACTGAAGGAAACATTAAGTACAGGAAGTTCAGTGAAGGCTAAATATGACAGGCGTTCATTGACCTTTGACAACAGCGATGGATGAATGTCCCCAACAGAAAATCCAAAAGAGCAAATGTTCTGACAGGAATCCATATTTTCCTCCGGTCATTTCAAAACTAAGTGTGAAGCAAAGAATCCGTCAAAGGTCGTCGTGTCCATGGAGACGTCGTCATCGGTTTTCATCCTGGGATCGTTATTGATTGGTGATGTCTGAAACCCAGTGAACACGCAGACACGTGACAATAACAACTTTTTTTTTTTTTGCTCAAACAATCGATCGTCGCTGGTTCGTTTCCTGTCGATCGACTAACCGATTAAAAGATCGGTGGTTTCCGCTGCAGCGCCCTCTGGAGGTCACTGCAGCCAAGCACACGCACACACACACGCACGCACGCACCGCTTCTGCGCATGCTCGGTGGGCCCCGTGGACACGGTGAGTCCCGGTGTGCACCGCCTCAGCTCTCCGGTTTGTCCTTGTTGGGGCCCATGAAGTCCAGCCCCTCCACCGGGATGTCCTTGTCCTTGATGGCCGCCTGCACGCAGCGCTGGTACTTCCGGAAGGTGTCGGTGCACGGGTCCCCCCCCCGGTCCCCCTTCAGGAACTTCTCCGCGAACCAGCGGTTGAAGCACTGGTCGTACTCGCGCTTCAGCTCCGTGCACGCCTCCCCGACACTGTTCATCTCGGCTGCGAACACTCGAACCACCGCGGAGGGTTTCGAACCGCCGACTGCTCTGCGTCACTCTCCTCGGGCCGCGGCACGCGATTGGCTGCCGGGAGAGTGACGTCGTACGTAGCTGCGTCACGGCGCAGCAGAGATCGTGTGTTGGGAGCGAACAGTCACTCCGGAGGGGATATTTCTAAACTCTTAAAGTTCAAGTGATTCTGGAACAACAGGTGAAGAAGAAAAAGAAAGACAGAAAGAAAGAAAGAAAGAAAGACAGATAGATAGATAGATAGACAGACAGAAAGATAGAAAGATAGTCGGACAGACAGATAGAAAGATAGACAGACAGAAATTTCAGCAAAATATTTCTTCCACAAATGTTTCGTAAAATTAAATACCTCTTTTCGTGTAAATTTAAATGAAGCTCCAAAGTTGAAAAAAAGCACAATCTCTGTTGAGTTCGCAGACTTCTGGGAAACCGCCTGATGATGATCATGTGTTGAGGCCTTGATATCTGGTTTGTGTGGAGAAATTAAAACGTCTCTTCTGGCAAATGAAAAGACAAATGAGCCTGCAGAAGCAAAAGACTGAGGAAGGTTGTTTTTACTTTATTCAATGAGGCATCAGTCAGTTTATATACAGAGATGAAGTCACGCAAGTGCAACTGTTTTAAATGTTGGAAACAAAACAGTCAGGATGGTTTTAGAGTTTCAAGGTGGAAAAGAAACTCGAGATTCAATACTTTATTTATCTTGTGCACAACAACGACATACAGCTGTCGCTGGCAATGAAAATCACAGGCTCCCCTCTAGCCATTTTCAAAATATAAAGAATATAAAAAATAAAATAAAAGCATTAAAAGGAATTATATAGAATACACATCTGAAATATATTTAATAAAGTATCTTGTTGAGTGGGATGACTGAATGAGCGGATGTCAGTGCTGTGTTTACTGATTGGAGGTCTGTTCCATCGATACATCACCTTAATTCTTCTGTTCTTTTTCTTCGTGTGTGTTTTGCATCATATATTCTATATGTTCCTGTCGTTGCCAGTCGCTCAGTCTTTGCGATGCTGCGTTATTGTTTTACTATATTTGAATAATGGTGATTAATAAAAACCAACTCCAGAGGGATTTAAAAAATAATTTAGTCTCTCACAAGTGAGGCGGAGTGAGACCTCCTACTCTCTTCACCTACCGACGACCAACTCTCGCGAGAGGTCGCCATAGCTTCGCGAAGTCTCGCGGTTCCCCCAATAAAACGGTGCGAGCCGCTGGAGAAACAAGATTCAACCGAAACCGGCTCCGGATCTTCGGCTGTGAAGCGTCGGACGCGTCGGTGGATCCACTCAGGTGAGTTCCAGCCGCTCAGCGCGCACCTGGGAGCGGCCGTTCCGCGGATATTCGGGACGCTACGCTCATGCTAGCTACGTTAGCATGCGTTGCTGCGGGGGTGTTAGCAAAACTTTAGCTGCCTCGACCCGCGTCCAACTCAAAGTGCGGGGCCGCGCGTTTGTTTTATTCCAGCTGCTGTTGTGTTCGAGGCCCGCGACATGTCTGACAGCGAGGAGAGCGACTACTCCGACAACCAGAGCGAGCGCAGCAGCGACGGGGAGGCCGAGGAGGTGGAGAATGAGGTATGCTAACTGCTAGCCAGGCGTGCTAATTGCCCGGTGGCTCCGCGAGGCTTCATTAGTTCGGTCCTGTGTGTCCAGGCGGAGGCGACGAGCCCCGTGGGCAGCGACAAGGTAGCCGAGGAGGAGGGAGAGGACCTGGAGGATGAGGAGGAGTATGACGAAGAGGAGGAGGAGGACGATGACGACCGTCCCAGGAAGAAGCCGAGACACGGAGGATTCATCCTGGATGAAGCCGGTATGAACACATCACTTTGTCCGTCCTCTACCCTGTGTCCATCTCCTCTGCTGGTGTCTGTCCTCCCTCTATCCCCCCTCCTCCTGTCTCCATCCTCCCTCC